CGCACCCCTCCATCCATCCATCCATCCATCCCTCCATCCATCCACGCACACCTACATCCATCCATCTCTCCTTCCCTCCAGCCCATTCCCATAGGTATCCCCCAATGGAGCTGCGGCCAGTCGACAGCAGCTGGGGCTCGGAGCCCGGTGCCTCGGGGGAGCAGGGCTGCTCTGCCCCAGCGGGGATCAGAACTCACCTTCTCCAGGGAGTGGATAACATTGGTCCTGTCCAGCTGCAGGAAGTTCCCCAGCAGGGGCAGGGGGGCAGGGCCCGGCGGCAGCTGCCCTCGCTGGTCCCGGCTCTTCCACGCCGAGGCCAGGAGAATGCAGCAGAGACAGAGGAGGAGAAGGGAGGCCGACACCAGCTCCATTGGAGATGATCCGGTGGGCAGCGGGCGTCCCCGGGCCGGGCAGCAGGGCGGCCGGGTTATAAGGCCGGTGTGCTCCAGCCCGGGGGCGGTTGTGCAAGCCTTTCTGATGCACCCGGGTAGCTCATTAATCGGCGTTAGATATTAATTGCTGGCGTCGCTACGACCCGGACCCCACCGCCAGGCCTTCTCCAGGGGAAAGTTGAGTGTCTCCCCCCTCAGCCTCTTGCGGTATGTCTAACACTGCAAAACCACCCCCAAAACACGCCGGGCAGCCAGTCTCAGCGCTCGGGCCGCGTAGCCACTGCCGCTGGAACTGGGGCGTGGGGTCTGAGCCCCACTCCCTGAGCCGCGCTGCACCAAGGCTTTCTTTCGCAGTGTCGACATGGCCCCGGGGGGTCCCCACCCAGCCCAGGACCCGCCTGCAGGGTTCTGGCTCCTAACCCCAGGGCCCAGGTCTCGGTTAGTCCTGCTCTAGGAATGGGGAGGAAGCTGGTGCTTTAAATCCCCTTTGTGCTGTTTACCACTTGGGCCATGGAGGAAGCCATGCTCTGCCCGCGGTTGGCCCTGGAAGACAGGGAATAGCCACAGCGCAGTGTGTTCCAGGTACACCCCCGATCTCTCCCGCACACACACTGGGAGCAGGGTCCTTGTGCCAGCTCCACACTGGTCGAGGAGGCGGCTGCAGTGGGGAGCAGCTTCTCAGGGCACCTGGCATGGGGTGAGCATGGCTGAGAACTGGGGCCGCTCTCCCTCTCTGCCAGAGACCTGATACACACTCGGGATGCTGCCGTGCCCCAAGCTCCGGCCTGTTCCCATGTCTCCTGCAGTTCCACAGACCCTCCTCTCACACGCCGCTCCCCTGGGTTGGCCTCAGTTACCCACTTCATCCAGCTCCCAGATCTTTGCCCTACTCGCTCTGGATTCCAAGTGGTGCTACGATCCAGCTGGCAGGGGTGGCCGGGCTAGAACGCACGGGGTTAATATGTCACTGCACCTGATAACAGATCAATCCAAAGTCCGGTTTATTCAGTGTCTAATCACTGACCCAGGGACCAACCTCCTGGCACCTGGCGGATATCATTGATGGGGAGGTAGATTAAAAGGCTGACTACCGTAGCTGCCAGGGGAAGGCGGGCTTGGGTAAGTCAGTGGCAAAACGGTCTTAACGCTTTAGCTTCGGGTGGTTTTTCCTCTGTGATGTTAGCAAAAGCCGGAGCCGAGAACCAGTTAGCCCACGCGAGGCCCGGTGGTGAGGGACTCAGCCAAAACCTTAAACAAAGTCACTTTCCCAGGCTAGTGGGCGAGGAGCCGTGTTATTCCCTATTGCGTGTGTTCCTGGCTTCCGAAAACCCGGCCGGGGGTTGTATTGACCAATTCTTCCGTTCGCGTTCCCCAGCCCCCCAAACCCCAAAACTATTTCTGCCGCATTAGATCTCGGCTTAGCAGAATTTCTGTAGAATGATGATGGATTATATCGGTGTTTATTTTTAAGCATTTTTTTAAATGTAAATGTTCACAGCTGCTCAAAATGCTTTGTTTGACGCGTTCCCCCGAGTTGTATCAATTTAAATGTTCACAGTTGTGGGAAATAAGTGGGGGGGGGGGGTCACACAGTGGGGGGGGGCAGACAATGATTACTTAATGCCAGTAGCTGATGCAATTCAAAGCTCTATGGCTTTATAACGAGAGCCCTGCAAAAAGTTCTCACGCAGCCTTTTGCTGACTTTGCCTGGCTGGGAATTCGGATGCGCGTGTTTTTTCATCGGTTTGTGTGGGCGGCGAAATCGCCGCTTAGCGACACGGGCCAAGAGAAATCTCACCACGCCGCCCCTTCGTCTCGCTTACGCTGCAAAAATCCAATTCAGCGTCCTCGTCCTTTTCTTCACAAGTCAGCAGTTTGCTACCCTGTGTTTCTTCCCGGGGCTCCTCGGCAGGGCTCAGGGCTCAGAGCCCCTCTGGGTGGCCCGGGCTCAGGGCTCGCCCCCGGCCGGCTGCCCAGGACTTGAGATTCCTCTGGACTGCTCTGGCACTGACGGGCTGGCTGGGGTTTGGGGCTGCACTGGCAGGCCGGCCAGCGAGAGTGGGGAGGCAGAAGTGGCGGTGGGAGGTGGGGCCTTAGGAAGAGGGGGTGGGGCCTCAGGTGGAAGGGGTGGGGCTTCGGGTGGAAGGGGCGGGGCCTGAGGTGGAATGGGGGGGCAGGGGGCTAGCCTCCCTGAGCTAGGGGTGCCCGCGCTACCCATGGTCCTCAGCTTTACGGGAGGGGGTTTGGGGGGGGGAGTTTGAGGTGGGTGCACTCTAGCGCGGGAGCAGCCGGAGTTCGTAGGGGTGGGGGATGTTCCCCACCCCGCTCTCCACGGGGCTGGCGTCGAGGGCGCCCGGGTCGCCGAGCGGCTGCAGGGTGAAGCGCTGCAGGATGGTGGTGAGGAAGAGGAAGACCTCCATGCGAGCCAGGCTCTCGCCCAGGCACACCCGCTTGCCTGGGAGAGGAGACAGGACAGCAAGCGGGGTTAGAGGGAAACCCGAGGAGTAAGTACTCACTGGCCCCAGCTCTGAGAGAGACCAGGGCACAGTCAGAGCAGGGAAACGGGACTGCTGGGCTCCAGCCCTCCCTGCTCTAACCACCAGGCCCCACTCCCCTCCCAGAGCTGGAGATAGAACCCAGGAGTCCTGGCTCCCAGTCCCCCCTGCTCTAACCACTAGCCCCCACTCTCCTCCCAGAGCCAGGAGAGAACCCAGGAGTCCTGGCTCCCAGCCCCCCTGCTCTAACCACTAGACCCCACTCCCCTCTCAGAGCCGGGGAGAGAACCCAGGAGTCCTCGGCTCCCAGCCCCCCTCGCTCTAACCACTAGACCCCACTCCCCTCTCAGAGCCGGGGAGAGAACCCAGGAGTCCTGGCTCCCAGCCCCCCTGCTCTAACCACTAGACACCACTCCCCTCTCAGAGCCGGGGAGAGAACCCAGGAGTCCTGGCTCCCAGCCCCCTGCTCTAACCGCTAGGCCTCCTCCACTCCTGAATGTGGATCCACGCCTTGTACCTGCAGAGAACGGCATGAAGGCGCTGTTCTTCTGGAAGTGCCCGTTCCCATCGAGGAAATGCCCAGGGTCAAAGTCGTCCGGGTTCCTGAACTGGCTTGTATCCTGGAGGACTGAGGTCAGCAAGGGGATGACGGTGGTGCCCTGGGAACAGAGAAAACCACCTGGGAGATGATGGGACGCGGCCAGAGCCAACACATCCTACCCCTAGATGTGGGGGGAGGCCACCAGCCGAGCCCAGGGTCATCTTCCAACCATTGCCACCCCACGCCCAGCCCCTTTTGCTTAGCGGTCGGCCGTCACTCTGCGCACATCCAGTGAAGCCTGTGCAGAGGATGGACACCAGCTGGGGACAGCCAGGGCTTCGTGTGGGTCGCCAGCCATGGGGATTGAACCTGTTACCTCTGGAGCTTAAGGCACAAAGCCCCTACAGAGGATGCTAAAAGGTGCAGCTCCCTCAGTCAGCACCAGAGAGGACAGCGTGGGTGTGGGTTACAGTCGCATTAGGGCTGGTTGCAAATTTTCCATCAAAATGACGGAAAACGGAGGTTTTGACTAAACAATTTTCACCAAAAATGCCTGTTTCCTGCAGAAAACGTAGATTTTTCGTTAAAAAAAAACAAAAACAAAACGAAGTATTTTGATTCAGAAATGCTGCCACAATGCCTCGTGGGAGTTGTAGTTTGGTTGTTTCGTGTCCCCATTCTCCCCTACGGGCCAGGCTTTCCATCTGGACTACATCTCCCATGATGCACCATGGCTAGGGACACCCAGGATGCAGCAGCTCTCCTCGTCCAAGCGGGGACACTGTGGTGCAACCTGGGAGATGTAGTCTGACCAGCAAGCCCGGCTTATAAAGGAGAATGGGAGCATGAGGAACCCGAGCTACATCTCCCATGGTGCACCATGGCCAAGGACTCCCATGATGCAGTGCCAGGAGGGGATGCTGTGGTGCACCATGGGAGGTGTAGTCTGATCGGGAAGCCTGGCCTGTAGAGGAGAATGGGACATGCGGCACTCGAACTACATCTCCCATGAAGCTTTGCAGCAGCATTTGGGGATTGAAATGTTTCAGTTCTCAGCCAGAAATTTTCAGTTTTCAAATTTTTGCCCCAAAATTGAAATGTTTCCCTGTTTTCATCAAAATTTTCCACAGAGAAAAAAAAAACAGTCCCTCCCCCCCATTTTGATTAGCTTTGCTTTACCTCTGGCCATACCCCTCCCTACCCCACGCCTGACGTGCCCGCCCCCCGTGTCCGAGGTTCGAGGGGAGTGAACAGCTGGCTGGATGCAGCACATGGCATGACAGGAACGAGGCTGCCAATCCGGTGCATCGCACGGTGGGTGACCGAGAAAACATGAGTGAAACGGTCTGCCAGGGAGGGACTTCCCATGGATTTAAATGGACCAGGGGCTGGAGGGGGCAGGGTTGGTCCTGGGAGAGTGAGAGATCTCAGCATTCCCCAGCGCCTTGGCCCTACCCTCGCCCTGGCACCGGGAGCCCGACCTTGGGGATCGCGTATCCTCTGAACTGGACGTCCTGGGTCGTCACGTGCGGGAGACTCATGGGGAGGACATCCGCGAATCTGTGCACCTCGTGGATCACGGCGTCGGTGTAGGGCATGCGGCTCCGGTCCTCGATGGCCGGCAAGCGGGACCGCCCGATCACCCGGTCAATCTCCTCGTGAACTTTCTCTGCACCGGGAGGGACAAGACTGAGCCCAAATGCGGGGGTGGCAGGAACGACGGTCTGGATCCTCCATTCGCGCTAGCTCCCACACCGACGAAACCCCAGTCACATAGAAGATAACAGCCTACTATTGCTACCAGCAAATGGAGTGACTCCAGATTCAAACTGGTGTGAGGGACAGAGAAACACACCCAACACATCTGCACTGTATTTGTCCAGGCAACATTGTAGGTTCGGATGGGCACCGTTGGGCCAAGTTCCCAGCGGGTATAATCTGACATTGCTCCACTGGCCTCCATGGGGCCAGAAATCTGTGGGGCCGCTAGACAGTCTGGCCCTTTCACCCCGTTGAAACGGGCCTGACACCCTGTTCAAGCTTTGATAAGGCTGCCTCCTGCTCTCCCCCGCCCCACCCCAGTACGTACCCGCAGGCTCTGCCCTGCGAATGAAGGACGTTGTTATTGATGGCTGAGTTCTTTTCAGGCCCCCTAGAGCCTGCCCCATGTCCGGAGGCTCTTCGCAGCTCACCACGACCCCCAGGTCTGCCCCGCTTGTGCCCCTCCTGCTCTCCGAACGGGAGAGTCTCATTTTCCCTCTTCACGGCGGGAGCCCCAAATCCCACCAGCTGGGGACCGCGCCCCGTATGCTTATCATACCTGGGCCCTTTCAGAAACACCAGTGAGTTTCTCCTTCCCAGCACAGGGGTCACAGATGAGGAAACCGAGGCACCGAGTGAGGCCAAGACTTCAACCCACGGCCCCCAAGTCCCAGGCCAGCACCTTAGCAACCCCCCCCTCCCCCCCGGCCTACCTTTTATCTCGGGGTACTTCATGAGAAGCAGGATCCCGTATCTCAGGGTGGTGCTGACCGTCTCCGTCCCAGCGAAGAACAACTCCAGCGTCGTCATGACCAAGTTCTCGGTGGTGAACTCGGTGTCGGGGTTCTGCTTTTCCTGGGGGGCGGGCGAGGAGCACAGGGCCAAACAGAGACTGGGACAGTTCTCGGGGTACCCAGGACTGCGACCCCCCCCCAGCCTCGAGCAATGGGGACCTTGCAGTGCCGGCTAGGTGTGAGCCCCCAAACAGCACCAGCCTGGGGATCGTCCAAGCCCTCTCCTCTGGGCTGCGCCAGCCCTGCCTTTGCCCGGCAGATTAACAATCCCTCAATCCCCGAGTCAGCCAGCCAGCCCCCGACACCGGCGTCCCACGGAAATCCCGGCCCCTCTGCCCCCGTTCTCCGCTTCCCCTTAAAACACGCTAACAGGCCACCCAGGGAGCACTTCGAATAAAACACAAGACGGTTGATTTAAGGAAGAACAGAGGCTCCATCAGAAGCAAGAGGGAGTGACAGGAACCAAGGGCTACGATACGAAACAGCATCACCCAAAGCGAAGATCAGGGCCCCGTCGCGCCGGGCGCTGCCCAGACCCCAGCCGAGATCAGGGCCCCGTCGCGCCGGGCGCTGCCCAGACCCCAACCGAGATCAGGGCCCCGTTGCGCCGGACGCTGCCCAGACCCAGCCGAGATCAGAGCCCCATCACGCCAGGCGCCGCCCAGACCCCAGCCAAGATCGGGGCCCCATCGTGCCGGACGCTGCACAGATCCCAGCCAAGATCAGGGCCCCGTTGCGCCACACGCTGCACAGATCCCAGCCGAAATTGGGGCCCCGCTGTGCCGGGCGCTGCCCAGACCCCACCCGAGATCAGGGCCCTGTCACGCCGGGCACTGCCCAGACCCCAACCGAGATCAGGGCCCCGTTGCGCCGGACGCTGCACAGACCCCAGCCGAAATTGGGGCCCCGTTGTGTCGGGCTCTGCCCAGACCCCAGCCGAGATCAGGAGCCTGTCACGCCGGGCGCCGCCCAGACCCCGACCGAGATTGGGGCCCTGTTGCGCTGGGCACTGCCCAGACCCAGAGACAGTCGCTGCCCCAAAGAGCTGCCCAGCAGAACAGACACAGGGTAGGAGGGGACGCAGGAATAGAGGGATTTCCCCGGGGTCACCCAGGGCAGCTGGGAGCGAGGGGGCACTGAACTCCCTCGCCCAGGGCCGTCCCGGTCGCCGCCATTACCTGGTCCATCTGGAGCAGGAAGCAGTCGATGTAGCTGTTGGGACAGCTGGGATCCAGCGAGTCCTGGTGCCGCTTCGCTCGCTCCGACACAAAGCGTTTGAGGGTGTCCGCGTTGTGGAACATGGCGTTGTGCCGCCCGGGGAGAGCGGCCAGGAGCGT